TTTTTCAGTCATCTAAGAATGCAATTCAAAGTGTCACCTTGAATTCTGAACTTTTATGGGTTAGAATGAGAACCATGAATTTAGTAGCTTTAAGTCCACATCAGTTTTAAAATTTATTCTAGTTTTAAAATTTCCTCAGAGGTCCTCAGAGGTGTCCAAAGTCAGTTTATTTATATCCACATATCTATCAATTAGGAAGAGGCAACACATTTGCTTTGGGAACGCAAAAGAAAATAACTGAATTTAAAAAAGACTACATTATTATTTCCAATAGTCATACTCCATTAGCACCTCAAAAATCATGTCTTGTAATTAGCCCTTCACGTACCCCATTTTGTGGTTCCCCCTCAAATATATACTGCATGCTACTAGAAAAAGACTCTTTAGAATTACACCTTGATCATATAGTTTCTCATTATTCACTGAATGAATTCTTGGCTTGATCTCTTTGTCCTTCTATTATACCCACTTGGTGGTCCCAATAACTATCAAACCTAAGGGTCCATCTTTCTCCATGCTTACACTCTGGCTGCAGAGATAAAATCACAAAACTGTTCAATCCTGTTATTTCTTGAGACAGTATTTTTAATCTTATCCACATTATCAACATCCATTATAGAACTCTTGATTCATAGAAAACAGACTCAAATATCCTCAATATTTTGCCTATCCTATATAATAAAAGCCTAATATGCTAAGTGTCTGGTTATCCGTTCAACCAATCAAAGCGTAACATGCTAAGACCACCCAACTGCTTGCTATGATGTGCACTGACCACCAGGGGGCAAGACTCTCCAACCAATAGGTTAGCTTGCTGCTGGGGTCTGGCCGATTGGGACTGAGCGAGACGGGCTGGACATGCCTTGGAGCCCTCCTGTGGTCCCTCCCCGGCTGGCCAACCTCCGCATCCCTCCCCAGCTGGCCAGCCCTGATAGGCTCCAATCGGGACTGGGCGAGACAGGGCCGGACACGCCCTGGAGCCCTCCCGTGGTCCCTCTCTGGCCCCGATCGTGCACTGGTGGGGTCCCTTGGCCTGGCCTGTGCCCTCTCCCAATCTGGGACCCCTCGGGGGATGTTGGAGAGCTGATTTCAGCCTGATCTCGCAGGCCAGGCCGAGGGACCCCACTGGTGCATGAATTCGTGTGCCAGGCCTCTAGTGAATTTATAAAGTGATTTGTGTCCTCATATATACCCCACTCTTCTTATGTTTTAGGAAAGAAGTGACCCTTATGGCCAAGGCTAATCTCGCTAATGATGCCTCATAACATCCAATAATCAACTCAGGGGCTTCATCCCAACTTTCACTGCTTGCCATCTCATTTTTGTATCTTCAACCTTTCATTTTCCACTGATCTTCCTATTAGCATTTGACATTTTTTAAAAACCTGCCTTAAACAGGGCTTCCCTTTCATTACCTCCCTATCTCCTCTCCAATCATTTATAGTTTCTGTGCTAATTTCCTTCATTTCTTCTTCCTGCATGTATTCAATCATTAGGTTCCTTGCTCTGTTAGCCCACCAAAACTGCTCCCTCCCAAGTCAACTATAATTGATCTGTTATCAACAGTCCACACTGCTATTTTCTCCACTGTTGTGACATATTTCCTTTTCATCACCCTCCCCGGGTTTCCTCTCACCTCCTGACTAATCTAATCAGTCTATTGTACACATCTTTTCTTTTCTCCATATTTTGGGGCTCTGAGATCCTAGGCTCTTCTCATTTCACCTGAATGATCTCTCCCACTCTCATGGCTTCGATGACTTGCTGATACCCAAATCTTTATCTCTAGCTCGGACTTCTCTCCTGAGCAAAAAGGCCCTATTAACTAATTGCTTTCTAAACACCTTTTCTTGGATATCTCACCGAATACCTCAAATTCCTTATGTCTAAAACCGAATACCCTGAGTGTTCTTATACCTCAGTGCAGTTACTATCATTTGTCCAGATACTAAGCCAAAAACCTGGATGTCATCCTTTATTCCTCTACTTCTAAGATGTATTGATTCTACTTCACAGAACTTTCTCTCAAATACATCTATTCTTCTCCATTAATGTCACTATTAGGGCTCAATTTTTTTTTTTTTATGAACGTACAATTTGGACGAAGCTTCCCTAGGTAGCTTTATCTTTTGCCATTTTCCCATTCACCCTCTGCCCCATCCTTAATCCCTATTTTATGACTCAGCTATTTGGACAAAATTATTTAGTGTTCCAAACAAGCCTTTTTGTCACCCTGATTTTCCACAAGCATTTTGCTCTGCTGAGACACTCTCCCAACTTCTTTGTACTATTTTGGCACCCTTCCAATCTCAGCTTAGATATAACCATATAGGAATCCTTGCCCAATTCTCCAAACCTGGGTTCAATTTCCCTCCCATGTGCTCCTACAATGCACCTCCCCCTGCAATCATAGCACTCATCTTTCCACTGGAGTTGCCTATTCACTGTTCCCCAAGAGATGATGAGCTCCGTGAAAGAACAAACCATGACTTTAACCCTTTAACCATTAAAACATATACTATCCCTCTTAAAACATAAAATACACTGTATTTGTTGGATAAATAAATGATGTCGGTCTTGTTTATCTACTTAAGTAGAAAGAGAACTTTTTGAACCTGCTACATGCCTAAGAGCATAGTGTAGGCATTCATTAAATATTGAACTAAGAATAGAATGGAATTGTATTTCTTCTTCCTCCTTTCCACGTCTACAAATATATAGCAATACAAATGTAGTAAAGTATAAATCTTAAAACTCCTATGTATTAAACTATATCTGAACAGTTAATTTTGAAATGTACAAAAATAAGACATTCATTCATGGTAGAAGCAAAACTTTCCATCAATAGAAATAGTCTATAATACATTATATACACTGAACTAGAATCTTTCTAGAAAAGTCCTATTGTTAAAAGTCTCTCAAGTCTCCACTAACTAATTATTCTATGAAAAGAACAACACATATAAAACTAATAATGAATTTTAGTGTCATTTCCAAAAAGGCAAAAAGAAATATGAAATACCAAGTATCATGAGAAAAAAAATATTTCAAGAAACATTTAAAAATTAGATAAATATAACAAATACTGTGTCAAATACAACTCTACAAAAATGTCTGATTAAAAAAAGAATGTTAAAAAATAAAGAAGGAAAGTTATCAGTAAAGGATAAATAAAACGTTAAGCAGAACAGGAAAATAGTACTAATAATTTTTAAAATGTAAAAACAAGTCTTGCTCTAATACTAATTTTCTTTTTACATAACACAAAATGATTTTGAACCTAATTTGAAAAGTAATAATTAGGCATCTTCCATCTTATTTTTCTAGGGTAACCTAATATTTAGTCCAATGAAGAATCATATTAAAATAAATTTTATACTTAGACCTTAGAAAGATACAATGGCTAAGAAGCTGAAAGGACAAAATACAGTTCTTTTGTAAAATGAATTAATGCAAACCACCTTTGGTAAACTCAAACAGCATGAAATGAGGATGGTATAAAGAATTAAAAACGAAACACTACTTTATTCTCCACTCATGACAGTCTTTTAAAAAGATGTGTGTATATTTTTAGGTGACTTTTTTTTTTTTTAAATCACTATCAGGCTTCCCTCTTTTTCCTGACATACTATTTGTTATAATGTTATTTTTAGTTATCCTGAAGGTAGAAAACAAAGAGTATAACTTTAGATTTGATTCTTGTTTCAGAATGGGAACTAATTTTAAAATTTTAATCATTGAATTTAGTTAAAATTTTTAATCACTGCATGTTAGATATTATTGAAACAGGTATTTTAAAGTTACCTCTTTAGTTAAATAATTGGCTCTAGGGGGCCAGAAAATTCAAGTTTAATTACTGCTTTTAATATTTTCATGTAAGATCTTATAGTACTTTTTTCACTTATAAAAATGTTTTAAAAGGTAAAAATAAAGTCACCAATACCTCCCCAACCCCCAGAAAAATCCCCTAAAGTATACAATGTAACAATGCAATCACATGAAAAAAATCCTTACATTTCCAGTGTAACCTGGCACTCTTTCATGTCAAAAAAGAAATCTACAAGCACTACCATACTTGTACTTATCTTGAATTATCAATAAGCAGAGTTAGAAGTGGCTACATTAGCAACTAGTGTTCATAGCCTATTTCTGCTAGGTTCTAAGAGTAACAGTTTCCTGAGGCATCAATGTCAGGTTAGTATAACAGAGAAAAGCATATAACTGCTTGATAAAGTAATTTCAGTTTGCATTACCTTAAAATTATCTATATATGACTTTCTCCCTAGATAGGCTATGGATTATCTCTGGAAATAAATCTTTATCTTTATATCCATGCAGTCTAGTTCAGAGTCTAATAGGAATAAATCTATTCAACAAGTTTGATTTGTTGAAAAAAAAAATTTTGTTCCTTGACACTATTTAAATAAGCTGAGTATTAAAGTGGTTCACAAAGCAGTACCAAAGGGCATAATGACTTAATGGTGAATGTGAGACTGATATCCTAGAATTATTATATATGTTACAGCCTTTATTAATTTAGTAATGAGACAGAGTTTTCTTTCCACATGTCTGATCTCAAAGCTATTATCAGATGATAAACAAAAATTAATCTGTAGTATAGTAAGTTTTAGATTGTTACTTGGGCATATTTATCTATCAAATTGTTTTCTGTATTTTATATTAGATTATATTAGATAAAATGCAAAAGTAGATAATATAACTTTTATATTAATGGTACATGTTTAGAGGCTTTCTATGTCTCTACTAAATATATTTTAATTTGCTTGAAATACTGGACACATTATATGTGGGGAAGTGCACTGGTACATTTAGCAGCACCTAATTTCACGAGTTTCATACTAGGTGCCAAGAAATTAGGTTGTCTATATATTTTGGAAATAAATGAAAACTCAATCAGCTGTTTCTTTTCTACCCATTATCTTTTACTTTACTCAAGGCACCTACAATGAAACTTTAAAATTAAGTAGAGAAAAACTTACCTACTTGGGATTTTGAATAATAGTTTGCCATTTGTCCACTGTTGCAAGACTGTCGTTTATGTCTTTTTGTTGAAATTTCTGTGGTCTTCCATGGTGGTCTTTTTCTTTTCTTCAATTTGCTAAGAACTTCAGAGCCATCAGGAGTCTTGTCATAATTAACACATTTATTTAATTTACTACTGTCAAGTTGGCCAGGAAATTTATCAGCTGCAGGACTATTTGACTTAGCATTTTCTATTTCTTTAGATTGCGTTTTAAAAGAATTTTGCCTAGCAGAATGGGATCTTAAGGTAAAGCGCTTTGATTCTTCCATATGAGTCTGATGATTACTTCCACTGTTAACAGATTCAGGTGAGTAAATGATTGTATTTAGCTTAAAAGTATTTCTGTGTTCAAGGTAGTTGATTTTTCTCAAAAATATTCTACAATCTTTTAAGGTTTTTGACCTCCAATTACTTGGACATACATTCCCTAGTCTTGGTCCCTTTTCAAAATCTTTTTGGCTGCAATTTGTTCCATTTTCCTTTGCTTCCAACTTATATTTATTCTCTAAACTACCATGTGTTCTAACGTCAGACACTACCACCCTCTGTTGCAAAAAGTCATTCCTGATCTCAGGTGGCAAAATAAACTGATTACCTACTGCATTATCAGCATTTGGTCCTCCCTCAGTCTTACTAAAAAATTGGTTCTGGCAGTAAAATCTCAGGTTCCTCTTTTTAGAGATCCAATTAACTGTTCCGTGGTTGTGCAGCTTTCCCTCTCTTCTCCACCTTTCATGTCGCAACCTCTTAAACTCAGTTCTTTTGAATCTACTTAGTGTTAAATTATTTTTCACATTTAAGAGTGGAGAGCTAACCATTTTATGCAGTATATGCAACTTCCCTGATTTTGAAGGAGAAGATAGTGCAAATTTTTTAAAGTGCTTTCGGAAGGGGCTGGTATTAAAATCAGAGTATTTGTTCCCTAATTTAATTCCTCTGGTATTTATTACTTCGAAAGGGTTTCGAGCATTTGCTTTTCTAACTAGTGAAAGAGACTGTGTTTCTGTCGTTTGCATAAACCAGGTACAGAGTTCATTCAAATCATATTTTTTCTGAAAAAGCATTTTTACAGGTGAAACTTCAAGTTCTACAAGACAGGTTTCCAAAGGGTTTGCTATTTTGAGATTATTATTTTCAGTGTCTTCCCTTTTTGTATGAACATAATTTTCAGCTTCATCTCCACTGACTTGTACCCAAGCATTTGTAATTTGCTCAAATCTATTATTTAACGCCTCTAATAAGGAATCGTTCGAAGCAGAAGCAGCCCACCACCTGAGCAAAGGGTTTGATGAAATTATAGGGTCCAAAGATACTTCAGAAATGGGTATTAATTTATCTTCCAAACATTTTTTTGCATTCCTTAAATTTCTAGCTCCTGGTGTACCTTTGGGAGCTATTTTTAACCTTGACTGCCTATTTTTTTCCTTCTGACTTTTGCCTTTCTGCAAATGGAGTTTATACGATTTATGAAGCAGAGTATTTCTATAAATAAGTGAGCTAGAAGATGCTAATGAATGTAAGAAATGCAGAGATGGTTTTCGGTCCCTAATAGAATGTCTCAAAGGTATAGCAGCAACCACACTTTTTGATCCATTCTTGAATAGGTCAGCTTCAGTATGCCTTGTATCCATCTTATTGCACTGAGAAGCATACTTTTCTTCAGGCAAACTTTTTTCCAACATAGTCTCTTGTTCTAACGGAGGTAAACAGCTGCTAATACTCACTGCTCTCTCCTGAGGTGAAATTCTATTAATAGTTACAGATATACCAGAAATTTTCACTTTTGCAGGTCTACCAGGCTTCCTAATTATTGCCAAAGGCTTCTGATTTGGTCGAACAATGCTCTTAGAAGGTTGAGGTATCACAGACTTGTTCTTAATAGGTCTAACATATTCAAAGCCCAAGATCTCACTTTCAGTTGTCAAACTTGAAATGGCACTTATTCTTTCACCCGAGTCAAGTTCAAATTCTCTAATATTTCTGAGACTATTACATTCAGTTGGAAAATCAGTAACCTTACTGTTTAAAGATGTAACATTGCTTATGCTTACACTTCCTTCAGAAACATGCCTTTTAGTTCTTCTTGACCTTCCATAAATAACAGTTACAGTAATAGTCTTTTTATAAATACCTTCCTTTACTTCTGATAGGGGAGATTCTGGGCTTTTCTTTCCAGCACTAAAAGACTCATTTTGGCAAATGGTAATGTCTGTTTGATCAGTTTTCGGTTTGGGTGGTCTTCCAATTGGTCGCTTAATCTGTTTCACAACCTGGGGACCTATTTTTTTAGGTCTACCTGGTTTTCTTTTAAAAGATGAATCAATTGCACTGTTTGAATTTTCCATAGGTTCTTCCTGTGGCTTATCGCTATTTGTATGATCAATAAACATTTCAGAAGATTCTGCTGTTTCTGTTGCACAATTTAATTTTAGTTCTTTTTGAAGGGTGTCACTACCATTAAGATTAGAACTAACATTTTCCAAGTTAGCATTTGGAATGTCCTCATTTATTTCTGTTTTTTTTTCAATTACATGATGGTTTGGACATTTTTCAGAAGAAAAATCAATGTTTGATTCAGAATTATTGACTGAAGTTAAAGTATATTTGACTCCTTCACTGCTTTTAACCTCAGATAAAAACATGAGTTTGATAGGACTAGAATAATTGGAAAAAGAGCTTTTGGTGGCTTCATATTTTGTTGGTATATTCTCAACAGAGGAAATCAAGCTACCTGTATCTAAAATAGATGACTTTTTCAGATTATCAAGTCTTTTGTTATTCAAATCTATTGGATTGCTTTGGATAGTGTTGGATACTGCCACAGATTTTGATAAACTCTGCTCTTTGCATGTCATTCTACTTACAGTAAGAGTTATATTTCCACCAGCATTTTGATCTTTACCATCAACTTCTTTCAATTTTTTGGATGCTTTATATCCTTCCAACAATGACTGATTATTCCAGGACTTCTTGGCCATATTTATTGTATCTTCCAAACGTTCCACAATAACTTGTAAATTAGAATTCATTGCAATTTTGTTTAGATCTATATTGTGTGAGCTTTCAGTTTGAATACTTTTCACCTGATCTTTTTTTTTTGTAGATTCAGAAACCTTTTTGGCCTTAGGGGATTTTTTGAGAACATAATTATTTGTTACATATATAGAATACCATCCTGGAGGCACAATATTTCGTTTAGTTCTGTTCAAATGTCCAGGAACATCACATTTCAAAGAAGTTTGAGTATTTTCTAGTTTTGAATTCTCATGATTTTGCAAAAAACTTTTTCCAGCTGCAGATTTCTCCTGTGAATTTCTTATGCTCATTTTCTCAGGAATAGTTGTTTTGAAGCTTTCTGAAAATGTGTCAAAAGCCAAGTTAGTATCTAAATTATGAAGGGGTAGTTGCAAGGACTGTAATGCATAATCTGGTGAAAATGATATTTCTGCATGATTGCTGTCTTGAAGGCTTTTAGAATTTTGTAAAGAAGGCCCTTGGCAATTATAGAATTCTTCTTTGTCTGTTGAAAGTATCACATTATTGCATACCAATTTCCTTGAAAATTTTTCACTGCATTTTTTTCTTACAAAGTTTTCATCAAGACTAGCAAGTTCTCTTTTTATCTGTAAAGCCTGCCTTCTAAACATGGGTGAATCAGGAGAGTGGTGCATCGCAAATAATGTTTCTTGACGCTTTCGAAATCTTGTCTGAATAATTTTATTTTCGAGCTTTTTATCATGTTGACTCAGTAATTCCATAAAACTGTAATCACTGGCCTTTGCATTATGCAAGAGGGAAGTTATTAAATCTCTCAGTTTTAAATCATTATCTGTATTACAATCACTGCTAGATAATTTTATAAGGTTTGTCGTATCTGTAGTTTCTATTGATTTTAATTTTTCATTAATACGATCCATTAAATCTTGAAAAATTACAGTAGTTTCACCTTTTTCATGATTTGTAGTACAATTATTGCTGCCTTCCAAGAGCAAAGAATCAGAGTTACTGGATATTTTGGTTTTATGTATTTTACCTTCATGATCATCTTTGTCATTACTTATTTCTGCTGGTGTGAGGAATGGAGGTTGGTTAATGTTTGTTTCAAGTCTGTTATTTTCTAAGGCTGAAAGCTCTGAGATGACATCTTTCAATTTTTCAAATCCTTCAGTCTGTACAGGTGATAATGGTGGGGGTGAGGGACTTCGAGATCTACAAATATCTTCAAGACTAACCGAAACATCACTGAGTACTTCCCTTGATGAAAAAGGAGTATGAAAGGCCGATTTTGAAGAGTGAATGTTTGGAAACAGTCCAGAACAGCACCTGTGAGAAGTATAACTGTTTGCAATTCCTCTATTCACTACTGTCTTAATGTGTTCAATAGTTACAGTTTGGCAAGACAAACAATGTAAATCTTTAATACAGACTGGCAGAGGCACAAAACCAGGGCTTTGTCTTTCATTTTGTAAACACCCTCTTTCTGCCAGCCTATATTCACAATGACAGAATAGACCATGTATATCATCTTCAATTAGAGGCTTTTGAGATTCTGAAGACACAGTATAAGATGTATTAGAACAGCAAAGAGAAGCAGCATTCTGCTCTTGGACTAGAAATTTCAACATTGCCAAAACTTGTTGCTGGTGATGTATGCACAAAGATTCCAAAACTTTGCTTAATGCTGATTTTTCTTTTTCCATTTTAGTAGCTTCCTCTGATTTTGCATCAACAGTTGAACTAAAAATAAAAATCAAACAAAAAATGAATTACAGTAAAAATATCAATATTATAAGGAGTTATAATTTTAACAGAGTTTGAACAAAAGATATTTTGATATTGCTGGACTCCTAATTCCTATAGAGCTGCAATAATGGCATCTTGATTATTGTTTAGTAAAAATATAATGAAGCACTGATGATAATTTCCTGTGACAAATATGAGTCAAAACAAAGCCCAAATTTTGTGATATAAAAGCTGATGATTATAGATATGATTATATTTATAGATTGTTAATGTTTAGTTCTTTGAATATATTAAGAATATTTAATGGAAAGTGCTTCACCAGGAGTTAAATTTTTTGTAAACATTTTGTTATTTTGATAATTATCAGTCTGTATTACTGCAAATAAGAAAAATAAGATGTATGAGAAAAAGCTTATCTTTATTTAAATATATATTTTTTCAAGGTAATGAAAAAAAATTATTAATAAAAGCTTTGTCACAAGAAAAATTAAGGGATTTAGATTTCATAAATAACAAAATATCTTTTCTAAGATTAAGCTCCAGGCATTTTAACCTATTAAGAAAATAAATAATTTAAGCTATTTAAAAATGAAATCTATTTTTAATTGATTTTAAATACTAAAGTAATTACATTGAAACTAAAGGCATTACTTACCTAATTATTTAATTTCAAATGGAAAATGTCCACTTCAGAAACTAATATACATCTAATTTTAGCTAAGGCTCATTATTACTTAGCAACGAATGTAGAAAGCTAAAATTTTTTTTTTAAATCCAACTACCAGCAGTAAGAAGATAAAATATATAAAAGAATTCTGTTTCAGAAAAGTATCCATTTAAATTAAACATATCACCAAACTCTACATGAAAATAGTCTCCCACTCCTGACTTGTTATATTTGTTAGTGCTAGTAGCTCCTGGTTTGTAAAAATTTAGGGTTGGAATTGGGATATGCTGATTATGAACTGCTACAGAAGAATGTATTTTATTTAATAAAGGGTTATGTTCATGTATATTAAAAATTAGAGAATTTTTCTTTTAAAATGAAAAGTGAATTTTTTTATTTCGTTCCCTAAATATCACTTAATTTGTTTCACAGTTAAGTATGCAATATTTTATCTACATTTTATAAAAATTGTTATTTGAATAGGAAAAATACCAAAGCAAATTTTGAACATTAGATCAATTTTTTTCAAGGAAAAACGACAACACTTTACTAGATTCAACCAATATTTCACTAAAACTAGCATATGATTTAACATAAAGTAGTTATCAAAGTGAGAATAGAAATGAAATTACAATAAAACTTCTTAAATCCACTGCCACCTCTAGACAGATGAAAACAGGACATGACCCCTGTAACTTTTCCTTTCTGAAAATAAATTTTCATAAGTTTTATCATGGCTGGGAGTGTAAAATGATGCAACTAACTCCCAAGATTCAATATTAGATCATTTAAAAAATATATGTAGGGAATAAAGGCGGGAGGAAATGTTAGCTATCAAATATAAATATAAAAATAAAATTATGCTCTTTTTCAGCAAATTAAACATTATAATTTTCACATAAGCAAATGAAAACCCAGAAAAGTTCTGATAAGCACGATTCAACAGTTTCTTTAGTTATGTTATGGCCTATTAAACATATCTGTGACTAACCAGTTAAACAGAGATTTGACATGGTTGTAAAGAAAATACATTACACTGTATTTTAAGGATTAATATGCTTGCCTAACAGTTCCTGAAATGCTTAAGTGATTTTTTCTATTAGTAAAGCCAAGTAAAATAATAAAAACTAATGACTAGTGTTAACTATTCTGAGTTGCAATAATCTTGAAAACCCCCACAAGATTTTTATATTTCTCTTCTGACATTCTAAGGATATCTATCTTTTAAAAGAGTTTCTTATTCAGTTTATTACTTCTATTAATGACATTTAAAAAATACCACAGTGGCTAGTAATTTCCACCTAATGCTATATGAAGAATAGCTTAATAAAGTTCCTAATTAGATATTCAGATTAGATTAGATTCAGTTATTAGATAACTAAGTTCTCAAATCATAAAACTACACAATATGCTTGTCTTCAAAATTCTTTTCCATATTTAATGCATGTTAAAATCTCAAAGCCCAATATATGAAACCTAATATAAAAAATAGTTGAATACACATACGTCTGCAATCTAGAATTTATTCCCAAATGATTACATAAAGGTTCTAAGATTGTACCTTTCATAGATGCCTTTTTTTGAATGCTAAGAAAGTTTCAAACCTTTTCCTATTTGATTTAGAAACCAAAACACCCTGCCTATTCTTTCTATGTTACTATCCGTTTTGCCCATTACAAGTTTTGTTGTTGAGATAGTTTTGGAGAAAGTCAATTTCTAATATTTAATATTAATAAAATTGCTTCCTAAAATGATTAAAGAAGTCAGTGTAGTCAGTCTTTTTCTTTTCTTTTCTTTTTTTCTTTTACTGAATGAGTAAATCAATCACACACAAACAGTGTTGTAAATTTAAGTGCAAAAGCATTGAAGTGCTTTACTACAAATTACAACCTAGAAACACGTTAACTGAACAATTAAAATTCATACAATCAGATTTAGATATATAACAACACAAAGTAGGAACAGAATTACAGTACATTACAACACAAGACAGATACATGAATTCATTAGAAAATATTGTAATAAATAATTCATGAATTATAGTGCAATTGATTTATGCATAAATATAACTAATTGCCTAACAATCAGTTTATATTAACAAAATCTGTCAAAATCAAGGCAGCACAGAGTTTTACTAAATTACTGCGACAATGAAAATACTGCAATTAAAAAACAAATACAAGTATTTGTACTGTAAACTAAAAAAATCAGTCTCACTAAAGTTAGTATACAATTTAATATAAAATTGTCATTAGCTACCAGAAGTGGTTTAAACAACTTTACTGAACAGTAGTTTTCTAAAAACAGAGGCACTGTTTTTTTCTTTTCCTTCTTTTTTTTTTAAAATATAAAATACTTGAGGAACATTCAAATAAGTAGAAAGCACATAAGGTTTGCTTTCACCTTCATTAAAAGTCTGCTGAAACTGGATATTTCAGAAAATTGTCAACTGATAAATAGTAACTGGTAACTAAATTCATAAAGTACTTTGAAAGTTTAACATAAAGAACATCTTAATAGAATCACTGGGGAGAAGGGGAACCCATAAATTTCCCTGCCTTTCCTAGTTTGTATAATCAAAAGTTAACTCAATAATTAGAAACACTTTGTTTCTTTTAAAAGTCATGGGTTATTACCTATAAACTATCAAAAAATATTTAATTTACTATTTCTGACCAAAAATAAATAATACAAGTACTAAAATGCTGCAAATTAACTATAATATTACCTATAAAACTACTGATCACTGTGAAGTCAATAGCAAAATGATCCCTGATTTTATGAATCCTGTAAAGTTTTTGGTCAGGTCATCTTTTAAATGATATAAAAGAGTTCTGTTAAGTATCCCTTTACTATAAACTTCTCAATCAATTTGTTAATGTAAATATACTGTGAGGAATAAAAAAGCTCAATACAATACAAATATTATGTAATGCATTCAAGCCCCCAAATTTTTGCAAGTAAAATTCTGTATAAAGAGGTCAATAAAATTGTGTTAAAACATTACTTTATCTTTAACTTTGTTTTTTAGTGGGAAGAGGGGTAATAGATTAAATAATCCAAGTTCTGGCCCTCACAAAATATGGCTTAATTCTTTAAAAAGAAAGATGACCCTGACATCTGCTGTTTTGCAATCTATTATGTATACTTTCTTGGAAAAGAAAAGAGCGAGAGGATTCATCATACCCTACTATGCAGGTAACATTAATAGCTAAAGAGTGTTCAGTGTAGATCTAAGAGACCAAATAACTACTTGTTTAGTTCCCACTCTTCAGTTTCTTAAAACATATGTAAGCAGTTTTTAAATGTTATAGCTGAAAATCTCTTTAGTATTACATGTATATGTGATTATTAGATACACACAAACACAAGTGTAAAAACACAAGTATTTGACAAGGTGCACTTTTTTTTTTTTAATTCAGCTTTTGGATTTACAAAAAGTGGCTTAGAGAAATGATTAAAACCTGAATTTTAACAGAGAAAAGGGGCACTCAGAGAATTTTGAATATATGAAGCAAATCCCCATTCTTTAAATGGAGGCACATGCTTTATAATATAATATTTTACTACTAAAACGGCATACTCCATAAAACCAACATGGATACTCTGAACCACATTTTTAAACTGCTATATAAAAATTACTGGTCTCTCTATGAGTCTGGTAAAAGTTAAAATGCACTGCCCAGCTTCTAACTACCCAATTAGTAGAGTTTACATTACTGAAAGTTCAAAACAGCTTCAGTGTTAAATATCTGTAAATCTATTCAAAACCCTGAACAAACTGCAAATTTGGTTATTAGCAAAATGATAATGTTTCGCCCACCAAAATGAAATCTGTAATTCATTTTGATAAACTGAAAATGTTTTGAAATGTCACAGCAGCAAATATATTAAAGTTACACTGAGGTTTTTCAATAGTAGGAGTGTGTCACAATCCTTAAAATTTAAAGTAGTCATAACATCAACTAACCAGCACATTTAAACCAAAATTATCATTCTCAAGCTTTTTCTGTGCACATTATAAACATGCTCTAAGTTGCATTCCAACTTTCTTTTCTAACCTTACAAATTAGCTTATTTTTCAAATAAAAAACAAAATTAAATTATTTTAATAATTAAATTTAAATTACTTTTTGTTCTTAGTATTCCACCTTATATTAAAGAATTCTATAGCTGCTGGGGTTAACCATGTGTCAGTTTTTTAAAAAAGCATATATCTTATAAACCCCAGCATCCTGCTAAATCAACTATTAAATGATAAATATTGAATTTCATTATATATATAATTTAAGGTTTTCTTTTCAATTCCTGGTGGATGCACTTGAGTGCATTTCATATTTCATAGAATGCACTACAGTGTACTAATACTGTATATATTAATTTTTCTTAGTATGGAGATAGGTCTCTATTTAAACTTTGATTGGTTGTTTGACATACTTACAATAACTGTAAGTATGTTATATTAAAATGTCTACAAACGATTAGTATCATCTTTCCATTATAAGATGGTTCAACTGAATGGCTGGAGTGGTCTTTCACCAATAAAAATGTTTCACTTGACAATTACTTGTTTTCCCACAACGCTTTATGCTATTGACTACTAAAGAAAACCTGAATCTTTTTCACCTATTTATACAAGGATTAAATACAAACTATCAGAAGTAAGCAACTATATAATCTGTCCACAGTGAAAACCCTGAATAAAACTTTTTTTCAAAAGGCATGTAAGTGGTTTTTGAACTGTAAAATTTCATGTCTCCTGTCAGAGTGAGCATCTGTATTTCCCACATGTGTGTATATAGACATACAAATACACACCTGTGCACACACACACACGCAAACACACACACACAAACACACACACATTTTCCTAACAAGTAATCTACACAGGCTTGCTGCTGTTTTTGCAGCTGCCAGTCCCTGAATCTGTCATATTATATAACCCAGTGTCTGGTAATCGGAGTTTCTTCTTCGGAGGAGTCTTCAGTGTTCCAGATCTTTCTTTTACCTTGTATTCTAAAGTGCTGTGAGGTACCCCATAAATTCCTTGTGCTTTGGAAACACTCATTTTTCCGCTCATTACCATTGCAATAGCCTCTTCCATTATTTCATGATCATATTGCCGATAACGGCCACGTTTTTTCCTGGGCTGCTTATTATCTTTTCGATCCAATCCATCTTCAGTATTTTCAGAGGTTCCATCAACTGTTCCATTTTTAGAATTAAGACACAAAGGAGAGAGGTCCCCATGTATAAAATAAGAGTCAACACTTGAGTGAGTTATGGGCCCAGAACATTCTATTTTGTTCTGTTTAGGGAGTATATTTTTCAGTTTTTGGAGAGCTGATCCTTCAAGGACGGGAGAGGTTTTGGAAACTTGATACACAACATCCAGCAGACCAGGACCATCAGGTTGTGGTTTTGAAACAGAGCTTACTCGTAGCTGAGGAATTTTTAACTGTACAGTAGGATGTGAAGTTTCATATTGTAGGCTTTCATTTTTTTCTTTAAATTGAGTAACCATTTTCTGTAGAGTTAACTGATGGAGGTAACTGGAAGCTGTTGGGAATTTTAATTCTGAGGTTTCAAGTAGATTGAGTTTACTTTTTTCTGTGCGCTCTGCTTGAGCTCTTGCCCACAAGGCTACTTTCTGCAGCACTGCACAAGTTTCTTTACTGTCTTTATATGAATAACTATCATTGAAATCTCGAGTTTTGTTTTTAAAAGATGCAGGCTTCCCTGCTGGTAAGGCTTCTAAGTGGAGAAGTAAAGTTTTTTGAGGTATGCCATAAAGTATGCCTGCTTTATTTATGTCCAGTGCTCCAGACTGAATGTCTTTCAAAGCTTTTGAGAGCAAACCATCTGCAAACTCAGCACTTCTTTCCACATAGTCCTCTCTGTTTCTGTGTAGTCTCCTGGATGGATGGAATGAAACGATGGTAAACTGATGCATGAGAGACTCTCACACAGCTATGGAAGGGGAGGGTCCACTCCTTTATTATACTCCTTGCTTAGGTAACATCACTGCTTATACACTTTAAGTCTGTGAGATGTAGTAGTTACTCCTTATCAAAGCAAACGCTACAGTCCTGGTAGGACAATGTGTCAATCATACGGTGGCCTCAACAGGCAGACCTTCCAAGAACATAAAATCCTAATTCAGTATTTGTAAAAATATTCTCATGATGTTGCTATTCCTGACAGATGCTTGCAGAGCAACACTTAGATTTTTTACTTGTACAATTAGAGATCCATTATAAAAAAAAACCCAACCCAAATCCTAAAGGAGTTTTTGTTAGTAGAAACGTGACGTTACCACTAAACAAGTAATAAAAGAGTCAACCCCTTTAAAGGAAATTTGTAGCAGTAAGAATACTTCCAAACACAATATCTCATATTTCCACAAGACCCATTTTTCTCTAGACAAAAACTTACAATTGGAAACAAGTAGATAAGTTATATTTGGGTAAAATAATTTTAGATTTTGTAAATGTTTTTTTTCTATTTCCAATGTATCATTGTAATTTCAAAGTTTCTCAAACAGAAAGCTTAATTTACCTCATGATTCAAAACCTACTACAGCTTTAGTTTAAACAAATTACACTCTACATCTAAGATTTAAATGTGACAAAAAAGCTTTCTGTGTAGTTTGTTAATGGGAAGATGCAAGTTACAAAAAAATCCAAAAATCCAACAGAACAGCATTTCACTACTAATTACTTATTAATTTAGTAACAGATTTTAATCAAAGCATAGAAGGACTTTTTGTGGTGATTACTAGATATATTACATAGTCTGCCACCACGCCTAAAGCATAATGGAAAAAAACACAAACACTATAAAGTAACTATAAGAATTAGTAAGTACAGTACTTTTAAAATTTATTGTTTTAAAAAATTAAATAGTGAAATTACATATTTCCCTTAAATTTGCCTCCTGAATATGGAATTTAAATCCTCTTTACTTGTCCTGCTTCTTAGTTTGTATTCTATGGTTAAGTTGGTAGTTCATTTTAGTAACATGAACTAAAGTTTGGTGATTGTTCTGATAACTTTTCTTTAACAGAAAGAATAAAAAAGAAAGAGAAAGGACAAAATGGAAGGTATGAGAGACAAACACTTATGAGTGACAAAGCCTCTGGAGGAAACTATATATGTCAATCTACTCAGAGTAGCATTACGAGTTCTCTGCAGAGATAATTTTATATTAATATTAAGTTATATTTCCTGGATATTGCTTACCCAGCCATTGAATTTTCAGAAGGATCACATATGGATGACTCTTCAGATTTTATGCTGATTTTCTTTGTAGAGAGATCTAACACTCCATCCCCTATAATTTTTGCAAGAGAAAAAACTTTATATTTGTAACAGATTAATGAAACAAACAGGCTATGATATAAAACCTGTTTAAAATCAACCCTTTGTCACCTTTCCCACTGTTTGCAGTGCACAGCCATCTGACTGCTCATCCATGACTGTTTCTATTCAAGGCTGCCCAGATGATGCTTTGGGAAAGTAGGAATGATGTCAATTGCACAAAAGAGAGCATAGAAAATATGATAATAAGTAAGAACAATAATTAGCATTTATTAGAACTAACAATATGTGGAACATATACTTTAGGTAAACTGTGACTCTGCATAACCAGTGTGTTTTTAGAAATTACAGTGTAAAATTTTACTATTTTAAACAACTGAAATGAACAACAGTTGAGTCAGTGCCTATATAATATGTCATGGTTATATACGTGATTGAATGAAGACATAACTTATAACAATATAACACTTTAGGAAAAATAGCAGCTAGAAAACACTGCCTAAGTATTTGTTATTAAAAGATAGTTATTTTTAATTACTGTTATAATAGTGAATTTACATAAGTAAGATTTCAACGATTCAGATATACTGTAATAGGACAACTTCAGGATCAAGGAGAATAAAAATAAACTATGAATTTATAACACATCAATAAATAATATTGTTAATACTACTATATCTTTACTGACAGCTAAAAATTGAAAATTTAAACTGTAAGAAAGGAGTCATTATAAAAAACATATGCTTAAAATATACTCAAAAATACTGCTGGGTTTTTAAAAAACAATCAAGTGGGTTTTACTATTATTATACAAATCTACTTAATACTTACGTGCCCTAGGGCAAGACACAAAGATGAAAAAAATAAGAACATATCTCACCCATAACATACTATGCATAATTCAATAATAATTTTATTGAGTGCTTAGTATGTGCAAAGCACTATTTTAAGAATTTGGAGAGCAGCAGTAAAAATGGCATACAAAGTACCTATTCTCATGGTGCTTAGGACCTAGTGAGATAAGTCATACATACACCACCCCATCACCACCCAACATATTTTAGATTGAGGATAAGGGCTCCTTAAAAGCAAACAAAGAAGAGTAAGCTGATATTTTTCTGGCTTCAAGGATTGACAATAATTTCCTTAACTTGTGTTAATAAAAGCTACTTGTTTTATCTTTTTGAGTCAAACACTTATTTGGTATCCTCTATAAGCACTTAAAATGCCCTTGCCCCCTTTCCTCTGTAAATTATGGCTCTTCTTTCAATCAACTATTAGATAAATCCAATATAGCTCTCATCATTCAGGCTCTTATGAAAAACAGATCTCTATATAGTTAAGTACAAGATTACATTATATTTATCACATATATTACCTTTTCTTTTTCCCCAGTTACATCAACAATTGAAGATAAATCAATTTCTTTTTGTTTTTCAACTAAGTGTAAAAAACTGAATAGGAAGTGTTTACTAAATGTTCTCAGCTGTATATTTTTTAAAAATAATTTTTATCATATACATCTCTTTATTGTATACTTTGCTTTTAAGTTGCTATTTAGGATTCTCTCACCATATACTTTATTGTGAAAAGAGATTGAGAGCAACTCAAATTTCTTTTTTTATAAACAAAAGTCAAATGCAATACAAAAGCTCAAATTTAGCACTTCTTGCTAGTCCATATTAGGCTAATCACAAGTAATATTATTTCTAAAGTTTATCTATAAATATAACATTACATATATTTAAGAATATTAAAACATAAAATTATATATTACACAAACACAAAAAGTCTTACCTTGCTGAGTATTTTGTTCTTGCATTCGATTCACAGTGAGGTCTAAGGGGCCTTCCTGTTCTTCCTGAAGGGAGTTTTCTGCTTGGTTCATTTGGATACTTTTACATATTAGACTTGGTCCAATTGAACCATTTCTATTCTCTTGAATTTTACCACTTTTTGAAATATACTCAATTGCAAACTGACGTATCATCTTTTTCATTAATTCCTGAGCAACTAGGGGAATGTTAGGATCACAGTTCTGAGGAAGATCTAGAGAAGAAATAAGTATAATAAGCATTAAAAACTGAAATGCAAAATACCAATATTTAAACTTATCATATTTTTATTACAAATTAATAATTTCAGAAGTCTTTTCAGTGTCAGTCTGTAATTGCTAATGGTTCCTAGGACTTTGCAATAGAAACCCTGTAGATTTAATTAGTATTATGATAACAACTTCAAACTTGGCACATTTAACCATTTCTTCAAAATAACATTTTTGTTCACAAACTAAAATATAAGTAAGAAATTAAGACATAGAAAGCTCAGTAATATGTCCAATTTTTAGAGTTTTAAATGTGTTCTACTAGATATTAAAACACTCTAGTATGTGAATATAAACTATATATAACCAAATAAATTTTAACTTAATATACTAAGTGCATGCATTAACTATTAAAGAAAACATCTAAACTTTCATGATTGTTAATTACTATTTAATTCTTCAATTCTGTCAAATATGCATTTCTTATACAGTTTAAATGTCATAATCAAGGATTTATTTTTCTTTTTAAATATATTTTTATTGATTTCAGAGAGAAAGGGAGAGAGAAAAACATCAATGATGAGAGAGAATCATTGATCCGCTGCATCCTGCATGCACTTTTCTAGGGATCGAGCCCACAACCCCAGCATGTGCCCTTGACCGGAATCAAACCCGGGACCCTTTAGTCCGCAGGCCAACGCTCTATTCACTGAGGCAAGCTGATTAGGGCTGGATTTTTTTTTCTTCCCTCAACATTTTACACTTAGAAATTTAAATCAGAAAACAATAAAATAAAGAACAGTACAATCACACAGACAGCCTTGACCAAGTTTCAAGAATTGTTAGCATTCTGCCACACTCACTTTCTTTTAACTTTTTTTGGTTTGCAGAACTACTAAAAATTGTAGAATTATGACATTTCACTCCTCCATGTTTCAGCAAACATATACTAAGATTCTCCTATAAAAATGGCAATATCATTATTAAGTGCCTTAATTAATCATTGATCCCCAAACATATTGATCAGCTACAACTATAATGATCAGCAATGATATTCAGTTCTACTTGAAACTTGTACAAGAGGTCAAAACAGTTGAATGATTTTAGTGAGAGGTACAGCATAAGGAGAGACCAGTTATGAACACAGCATATAATAGTGATAAAGTTTTGGTATTGGGGAGGGGGGTTGTTGGTGGCTTTTCACATACACTTCCGGCCTCAATCCAATGCTTTTATTTACTCTGTTCCTTCAAATGTAGAATGACTGGTAAATTGGAAAGTATGATTATACTTGGTTAGGCTCCACAGAAGTGGTCCTTCTTCTTGAGATACTAGTAACTAGTTCAATGCTCCTTAAATGCCTCAACTCTTACCCAGGCAGATCAGTGTTATGTTAATAGGTCTGCATTGATCCAGGGCTGTTTGAGACAGAAGGGTCAACTCTCTTTAGTTTGAGGGTTCAGTATTAGCTGGAGAACTTGCCCAAGACATGTGAAGGCAAGTATTTGAACTAACATTTATTGTTACAGATCCCGGATTCTAAAATGCAGGAATGTTTGAAAACATACTATTTGGAGGTGAGAAGAGGCAACAAACACCTCCACTATGATCAATTCCATATTTGGTAGCAAAAAGTGACCTATGATAGCATGAATCTATTTATGGTCCTTGCAGAAATAGAAATATATTTGATCAATGGTGCTGAACCAGCTGGAGATGTTACATAATAAACATCTCCATTATATTACATCTTTAAAAAATATTTTAAAATTCAGAAGAAACATCTGAGAAAAGGGACTGTGGGCCTATTTTAAAAAGTTAACATTTTAACCTTTACATTTATTCTTTGACCCAGTAGGAAAGAGAGGCAGTATTGGTTTGGGGGTACTGGAGAAAAATAGACTTAGCTTATTTCCATTTTATAGTTTCTTTGTTCATAAAAATGGAAATAACAGAACCTTGAAAATCATAATAGGACTTGTTCACAGCATATTTTTTTTTAAATATATATTTTATTGATTTTTTACAGAGAGGAAGGGAGAGGGATAAAGAGTTAGAAACATCGATCAGCTGCCTCCTGCACACGCCCTACTGGGGATGTGTCCGCAACCAAGGTACATGCCCTTGACCGGAATCAAACCTGGGACCCTTCAGTCTGCAGGCCGATGCTCTATCCACTGAGCCAAACCAGTCAGGGTGCTCACAACATATTTTAAGATTATATGAGATTGCAGATCAAATACTTGACATTTTTACAGTGTGGTAAACATTAGTTCTTAATTATAGTGGCAATAACAAGATAAAAAGATGCAAGATAAGCAATTATATTTTATTTAAATCACAAGATGTCAAATAAGTAAAAATATTAAGGCAAATATAAAATTATTAACTGGGAAAATAAAAAGGACATAATATCTAAGCCCATGTGATATTTTTTGGTATAGCCCAGTGGTCGGCAGACTGCGGCTCGTGAGCCACATGCGGCTCTTTGGCCCCTTGAGTGTGGCTCTTCCACAAAATACTACCTGCGGGCGCACACGTACAGTGCGATTGAAACTTCGTGGCCCATGCGCAGAAGTCGGAATTTTGTGGAAGAGCCACACTCAAGGGGCCAAAGAGCTGCATGTGGCTCGCGAGCCGCAGTTTGCCGACCACTGGTATAGCCCATTACCACATGTAACCTAAATAAAGTGATTTACCAAAATAAAAAATTTCCATGCTGCCCATAAGGATTTCAGTTTATACCATTACTTGATTATTACCTCCAGGAATCTTTGAAGGTTTCTGTGAACAATCTTCTTCACCTTCTTTCAAACCTAATTTTGCTTTACATTATGTGTTAAAAGGAAATACTGAATGTACTTCTAGGTATTTTGGTTAACTGTTCTGTAATTTATTGATCAATGTTACCTTATAAATTTAAAATAATTAAATTTTCCAAAAAGAGCAAACACATACTTTATCATTGAGTTTAGAGCTAAGTTTTTAATGCAGAATAGATATCACTACTCTATTCAATTCACCTACTCAGATTTTGCCCCTTTATATTGGGGAATAAGTCTATGTGTGAAACCAAAGGACTTGGCAAAAAATAAATTAAAAAATAAGATAAAAAAGAGAAAAAGAAAGACAATAAAAATTCTGCTCAGTTGCTAATTAGCTAATGAATCTTCTAAATTACATGTACAAGCTATTATAATTACATAAAGCAAATGAGTTAATTAAAGATCTAGGCCAGGGATTAAACTCGTTTTGAAAGATCAGGCAAATAATAAGTATTTGGCTAGAAGATAAAACGTTGCCACTAGGAAATGGTGTCTACTGCCCTCAAGAAGACAGAAGAGCCCTAACCGGTTTGGCTCAGTGGACAGAGCGTTGGCCTGCGGACTCAAGGGTCCCAGGTTCGATTCCAGCCAAGGGCATGTACCTTGGTTGCAGGCACATACCCTGTAGGGAGTGTGAAGGAGGCAGCTGATCGATGTTTCTCTCTCTCGTCGATGTTTCTAACTCTCTATCCCTCTCCCTTCCTCTCTGTAAAAAATCAATAAAATATATTTTTAAAAAAAGGAAAAAAAAAAAAGAAGACAGAAGAGTCTGGCTGGTATGGCTCAATGGTTGAGCGTCGACCTATGAACCAAGAGGTCATGATTTGATTCCTGGGCAGGGCACAAGTCCGGGTTGTGGGCTCAACCCCCAGTAGGCGGTGTGCAGAAGGCAGTCAATCAATGATTTCCTCTTATCATTGATGTTTTTTCTATCTCTCTCCCTCTCTCCCTTCCTCTCTGAAATCAATAAAAAATATATTAAAAAAAAAGACAGAAGAAACTTATTTTTACCCTATCTTTTCATTTCTCAAATTTAACTAATTCAAAGTTTAACATGCTCTTTGTGGTAGTCAGTATCAAGACCGTCCGCAATGATCTCCACATCTTGGTTTCCTACTTCTGTGTAGTTCCTTCCACATTGTATCAGGGGTGTTATGTGTGATTAATAGCATAGCACAGAAATGTACCTCATTTCTGATATTAGGTTATATAGGTATGTGGTTTCTATCTTGGATACTCCTGAATATTGATGTTCGCTGCCTCCTCTCCGCTCCCACCCTTACTCCATCCTTGCATCTCTCTCTCTTTCACTACCAATTCTGGAGGAATCCATACTGTAAGCAACCCTATACTGAGGCTCATAAGAGTTTGATGTTCTTGAGCCAAATGAATGAAACTGGAAGAAAGTACTCCAGATCAATCAAATGCCATATGATTGCAAACCTACCTGACCCCTTGATTGCTGCCAAATGAAAAACTGCCAGAAACATCCAGCTGAGCCTCTCTCAGATTTCTGGCTCAGAGAAAATGTGAGATAATAAATGTTTGTTATTTTAAACTGCTAAATATTGGAGGTAATTTGTTAAACAGTAAAAGAAAAATAATAAGATTATGGTATACATTGGTGGGATGCTGCTGTATTAAAACCTAAAATGTACATATTGCTTTAAAACTAGACAGTGGACTTTGGGGAGAGTATTAAATATAAGCCTGAAATACACTGAAGAAATTGTGAATAGAAGCTTCCTGGTCTTTGATAAAGCTGGAGTGTGAAGACTTGTAGAAAAATGAGGTAAATGTTATTGGAAAGTGAAGGAAAGAATATACTTATGTAGTGGCAAAAAGACAATACTTGTTTGTAGTAAGTTGGAAAGTAAAAAATGTGCCTAATGAATTGGGTCATCTATTTAGGGAAATTTCTAAGCAAAGTGTTGACATGCCTTTTGATTTCCTCTTGCTAATTATCTATACTAATAAAAGCCTAGGTGGTCCTTGCATCGTCACAAGATGGCCAGCAGGGGAGGGCAATTGGGGGTGACCAGGCCTGCAGGGGAGGGAAGTTAGGGGTGACAGGCCTGCAGGGGAGGGCAGTTGGGGGTGACCAGGCCTGCAGGGGAGGGAAGTTAGGGGTGACAGGCCTGCAGGGGAGGGCAGTTGGGGGTGACCAGGCCAGCAGGGGA